GTGTGTGTGTGTGTGTTTTGAAGGCCCAGGGTTCATCTCTTAGATTTTTATACCTCCTTCTCTGCCTCACTTCCCTCTGGAATGCTGCCTTGCAGATTGTATTCAGCTTAGTAGCTCCAAACTCCATTCTTTATCTGCTGTGTTCATTGAGATTTGCACATGCTGTTGGAGGTCCCTTTTCATCCACCATGGTCCAGAAGGTGCCTACTGGCTGAAAGTAGCTTCTCCCAGTGACCATAGTCTTGCACTGCCTGTAGTATAATGTCTGAAAATAGTTATTTTGACCTATTTTTCTTTTAAAGTAGAAGATCTAATCTGAAACTAGTTACCCTGTTTTTTTTTTTTATGATAAAAGCAGTACATATGTGTAACAAATTCAAACAGTACAGAAGTAGAAAAAGTAAAAATAAACTTTTTCAATTTGTATTTTTCATAAGAACTTAATTTAATATAAAACCTTCTATGCTTATATAAACCTATATATACATGGATTGACTTTTTTCTTTAACAAAACAAGATCATCTTGTATAGTTTGTTCTCCAGCTTCCTCTCCCTCTGACTGAATTGATGTCTTTCCCAGTCAGTATGTACAGATGCATTTCAGTCTTTTAAATGTAGCCACAGTATTCCATTGTAAGAATGTGAACCACATGTTTTTTATTCCCCTCTTGGTAGAAATTTAGGTTGTTTATAGTGGCTTGCTTTCTTCCTCTTTCTCTTACCCATCTTTGCCCCTACCCCCTCCCCCAGCACTGGAAAAGACATCCTGTTTGTCTCTGGGTTTAGTATTCAAAATAGCTACTAATATAATTCTTTCCAGAAAGTTACACCTATTTATACAACTATGAAAAAGGTATGATTGAAGCTGTTTCTTTTCTCCACTGTCAGCACCATATGTTACCTATTTAAAAAATATTTGTTAGGTTCACAGGCAAAGGAAAAAAAAAGCATATTTTTAGTTATTAGGTAGAGCATATGTTAAGTGGCTATTTTTTTCTGAATTGTTAGATCATATCCTTTTGCCTATATTACTCTTAGATTACTTTTTCCTATTGGTGTGATAGTATGAATGTTAACCCTCTGTCATATATGTTGCAAATATTTTCACCCGATCGATTTCCTTTTAAATTTGTTATGGTGGGTTTTTTTTTTTTTTTTTGGTCCACAGAACTTTTTTTTTTTGGTAACTGCATTTGTCACTTTTTTTTTTCCTGTATAATTTTAGGGTTTTTCTTCGTGGTGAGACCTTTCTCATTCTAGGATTGTAACATTTTTCTCATGTCTTTACCAACACTATTATTTCAAACATTCAGATATTTAGCTTCTCAGCAAGTCTTTATAGCTTCACTAGTTTGCGCTTGCTCACTGGAAGATTGTTCATTCAACCCTTCATTTTGCAAATGAGGGAGCTGCACCTCCGTGGTCTCCCCAAGGTCGTGCCCCTTCATTTTATGGCAGCACTGAGAATAGAACCCAGTGTTCCTTGCTTCTTTTTTTTTTTTTTTTAAAGATTTTATTTATTTATTTGAGAGAGAGAATGAGATAGAGAGAGCATGAGAGGGGGGAGGGTCAGAGGGAGAAGCAGACTCCCTGCCGAGCAGGGAGCCCGATGCGGGACTTGATCCCGGGACTCCAGGATCGTGACCTGAGCCGAAGGCAGTCGCTTAACCAACTGAGCCACCCAGGCGTCCTGTTCCTTGCTTCTTAATCTTTCCCCCATTTCTCTTTCCAGTCTGGGTGGGTGAACACTGGAGTAGCGTGTCCTCCGTCAGCTCTTGAGTGCCTGTTACTACCACTAGAGGGCTGGGCCCTGGGGATGCAGTTCTGAACAGAATGGGCCTAGCACCTGGCATTTTGGAATTTATAGTTCATTGAATAGACGATAAAAAGTAGACAAACACATGCATAATTGTTTGGGAGAAGAGATGTGAAGGATGTGAAATCGTTGGATAGTGGAGAATAACAGGGCCTTGAGGCTGCTTAGGCAGGATGGTCAGAGAACGCATCCGGTGAAAGTGATACGTATCACTGAGAGATTTGAGAAATTGAAAAACTTTTGAAAAAATTGAGAACTGAAAGATGAAAAGGAGCCAGGAAAGGGCTCAGGGAAAGGGGCTCCAGGCTGAGAAAACAGCACAGACAAAAGTGCAAGGTGGGAAAGAACTTGGCAACCGGGCGGGTTGAAGGGGCCACAGCTGGTGCAGGATGTGAGTTAGAAGAAACGGTTTCACTGTGAACATGGCAGGTGTCAGATTGCAGGCTTGGTTTACCAGCAGCCATTCCGAATACTTCCCAGACAACCCCATTGACACTTGCTTTGTAAAAATCTGGACTGTTCATTCCTCTCCAAAACCACATAGTCAGCTGGAAAAATGTGGGGATAAAAACCTTTTTTTTTTTTTTTAACATTATTAGGTGAAATCTTATTTTGTGATGAAAACATGTCTTTATCTGGGTCAAAACACATGCTGAGTTTTCTGGAGCTACTGGCTATAACTAGAAGTAATAGTAAAAACAAATCCTTTTCAGATGAAATTTATTTTAGATAAAGAATGTGGTACATAAATCTGTTTATCCTATCAAAATGAGATAAGAGGAAAAAACCTATTATCACAGGTAAAACAGTAATAGTGGAAAAATGTTTCTGTGTTTCTTTAGCGCTTGAATATTTTTCAGGGCATTAAATTATCCCCCCTGGTGTTTGTGTAGCATCTGTGTAGGCAGGTCTTGTATTCCTGTGCTGTTTATCATTTTGTGCTTTGTTTACTTCAAGTTTGATTTTTATTTAAGCTTTATAAAGATAGGGAACTGATCTTTTCCCTCATTTTATTTCCATTAAAAATTTTTTTTTCTAGAACGTGTGTAGTATTTTGTTCGTCTTTAGTATATCCACTAGACCCTCCTGTGTTCAAGGGCCCCTCTTGGATTTTTTTTTTTTTTTTCTGTATGCTTTTTCCCTGTTGATAAATCGTCAAAGAAACTCCTTGATGGCTGGCATACTTTTCTCCTATACAGAACATCTATTATGTGTATTACACAGATAAGAGGGAAGTCTGAATTCTATAGTAGCTCTTCTAGGTAGAGAGAACAGTTATGTAATTCACCTTTAATTTGTAGTCCTTGAGGGATGGTAAACTCTTACCATTACCTTGTCCTGTTAGTATAGATTTTCCTGAAAGAGTTAGTCTTCACTCATTAGTGAACTCTTCACTCATCAGTGAAACACTAATCACCTTCCGTTCCAGGTTCTAGGATGGCAGTGTTGAATAGAACACTGTCTGTGGATTTCATGGAGCTCAGAGACTTGTGGGGGAAATAGTCCTGTAAACAACATAAAGTGATGTGATAAATGCTGTGGAAGAGTTTTGTACTGGATATTTGGGCACAGAGAGAAGAGCAGTCAGTTTTGAAGAGTGCCAAGGAAGGAGGAGGGAATCGTTTGTTACCTCAGGTGGTTGTAACAAAAGCGAACCCTTTTTTTTTTTTTTTTTAAAGATTTTATTTATTTATTTGAGACGGAGAGAATGAGAGACAGAGAGCTTGAGAGGGAGGAGGGTCAGAGGGAGAAGCAGACTCCCCGCCGAGCAGGGAGCCCGATGCGGGACTCGATCCCGGGACTCCAGGATCATGACCTGAGCCGAAGGCAGTCGCTCAACCGACTAAGCCACCCAGGCGCCCCTTGAGGAGTACTGAAGAAGAACATTCTAGGCAGAGGCAGCAATGTGGATGAAAGACAGACTCTCGAGTATGCATGGTTTGCTCATTTGCCATGTGGCTGTGTTGTTGGTGGCTTATTAGCTTTGTGGTGGAGGAAGTGGTGAGAGGCGACCCTGGAAGGCTGTGATGGGGCCCTTTGTAAGGGCCTTGCAGGATGTGATCTGTTGCTCTTTTTAGAAAGATCTCTTTGGAGAGTATTGAGGAAGGATTGGGGGAAAAACTGAAGGGAGGAGACCAATTAGGAGGCCGGTGAGAGAGGCTCAGCAAGAGATGGTGAAGCCTGAATGGGGTATTCTATTAGTAGGGGAAGAGAGAGAAGCCCATGACTCTCAGAAACCTTCTGAGGCAGTCCTGAGGCTCAGTCCAAACTCGGACTGAGAGGCAGTGTGTGGTAGTGAGCTGCTCACTGTTTGGGAATGCAGGACACATAGGTTCTGGGTTTTCTTTGCTCTCGACTCTCAATGTCACCTTGTCAGTCCCTTAATCATTTGGAATCCCTGCTGGTAAAGGGAGGGCACTGGTTCCACCGGTCTCTTCAGTTCTGGGATTCTAATGAGGGGACACTGAAGCGAGCAAAACCTCAAAAACCTTGAACAAATCTAATAGAGTTTAGAGTTTCACAGTCCCTTTTTTGCAGCTGATAGCCTTTCTTTTCATTATTGTACTGAAAAATTCAGAGCAGAAAAAAGGTATTGGATTATTAAGGTTGATTATTAAAATATTATAATTGTGGGACTGATTAGGGATAGTTCTTGATTCACCTAATACATATGTTGATGTGAGATATGTGTGTGTATATATATCTCTCCAATACTGTGTCTGTATAACCCTGCGTCGTATTTCCTTGTTACCTATATTTGATGTATTTAAAAGATCTCCATTGAAATTTTCATTTTTTTGCTGTTAGAGGAGCTGAACTCATTGGATTGGAAATTATTTTATGCCCATTCTCTATGCTTTTGATCTGTCTTAATTTCATAAGTATTTTGAGGTGTACTGTTCTGAGCCTTTGCCGGACCAGGGTCTGCTCAGCATTCGATAGACCACTGGTGTCAGTAATCTTTGCTTCTTAAGTAAGTGGGGCAGAGTTTGCTGTGGTTTATATTTCCCACTCTTACTTGGAGTGGCTTTCTGGAAAGTGTTCTTTTCTATTGAACTGAAGCATTAGAAATCCTTGGGAGAGGATGTAACATAGTTGAATAATTAGTTTAGTTGCATTAACTGTAAATGTTAACTATCTGTATGACACATTGTTAAAAGCACTTCTTTTGTTTTCATTCTAGTTCCAAAAGACCCGAAACCCCAGTGGAGACGTGTAGCATGGAGTTATGATTGTACCCTGCTGGCCTATGCTGAAAGTACAGGAACCGTGAGGGTGTTTGATCTCATGGGAAGTGAACTCTTTGTTATTACCCCAGTACGTGCCTAACCTTAAACTGATTACATAAAAGGCATTCAAAAAAATATGTGAAAGTACTTGAGTGACCGAATGTGAGGAGAGGGGGAATAGACCTATAAATCTGAATAAGTTGTGAACTTAAGATGTTCAGAATCTAGTAGATATCTGTACGTGAAATATTTTTTCTTTGTATTTTGTAATGCAGTATTCAGCGGTAATCCACCATTATGGAAACATGGTGGTAAGTAAATACTAAATAGGTACAGAGAAATGTTAGAAAGTTCCATTGAGGGAAAGTAGTCACTGGACTGTCACAATAGGAACAGCTTCCTGAGGAGTTGGAATTTGTTACCCTAAAGGGGATAGAAATTGAAAGGGAGAGTGGAGAAAAAATTAATGGTGGTAATAACTTTTATTTGTGTAGTGCTTTATACTTAATTAATGAGTTTGATATATATTCTTAGTTGATATTCACAACAACGCTTTGAATAGATTGGCCAGATATTATCCACATTTTACAGTTTAGAAAACTGAAATTGAGAGGCAGTTGAATGACTTTTCCCATGGCAATCCAGTTAATTAAGTGTTTCTTTCAGGAATCCAGTGCTTTTTACTTTGTATCCTTCTTCCTTGAATGAACAAGATACAGAGGCAGGTAGAACAACAGTGCTAACTCTTGCTGCATTTTAGGATCAGCTGGGAAGCTTTGTAAAGAAAAGAAAAACAACAGAAAAGTTACTTGATTGTCTAGGCTTAACCCATAGAAATTCTGATTTAATTGATTGGAGTGGGCTCTGGGCATTAGTATTGTTTACAAGTTTTCCAACTGATTTTTAATGAGAAGCTAGGGATAAGAACCGGTGATACAGAGAATGACTTTTGTTCAGAAATAATGACTGGAGAAACTTGAAAAAATGTGTTAGCCTCATATTATGGAAGTCCAGGGGAACCAAACTAACAAGTTTGGATCACTGTTTTCTAGACTAGCACTGTCTGATAGAAAAGTAATGTGAATTATATATATGATCACATTGTAATTTTAAATTTTCTAGTAGTTGCATTAAGAGTTTAAACAGGTGAAATTTATTATATAATCTAGTATATCATAAATATTATTTCAATATGTAATCCATGTAAAGATTATTAATGAGATATTCTACTTTCTTTGGTACCAACTCTTTGAAATGTCATGTTTATTTTTATATTTAGAGTCTGTCTCAATTAGGACTAGCCATATATCAAGTGTTCAGTAGCCACATGTGGCCACAGTATTTATTTTGTGGTTCTAGATAGTGAGGTGTAGTCATTCAGTGTGATAAACTTTATGTGTGCTTCCCAAGGTGCACATGCCTTCAGATCCTTAGCAACATAGCCTGATATTTAGTTCATGGGAAAAGGTTGACATTGAGTGAATGTTTTAAGTGTCTTTTCTTTTTAGTTGCTGATGGGGCAAATGGGAAGTAATTAAAGCTTTTTTTTTTAAGATTTATTTGAGAGAGAGAGAGCACATGCATGCAAGCATGGGGGGCTACAGGGGGAGGGGCAGGGGGAGAGAGAAACACAAGCAGACCCCGTGCTGAGTGCAGAACCTGACTTGGGGCTGCTCAATCTCATGACCCTGAGATCAAACCTGAGCTGAAACTAAGAGTCAAATGCTCAGCCAACTGCGCCACCCAGGTGCCCCGAGGCTTTTTTTTTTTAAAGCATTGGTTACTGCTGGCAATGAAAGTCAACATTTGGGACCTTATATCTGAGCTCTGTATCTTAGAATTCTTTGAGGCTAAATGGTGGCATTACTCTCCCCCCACCCCCCGCCCCCATACACACACATAGCAGAAGTACAGTCTCAACAGAAATTCATGTAACTAGGTGAATTTCTCTTCCAAAGAGGGTTGTGTGGTTGTAGCCTGTGTTGGGAGGGCGGGTCTAAAGTTGGGTTTCTGGTTCTAGGCACTCTGATATGCATGATTCTTCAGTATATGGAGCAGTTCTCGGACTGTCTTAATGTGTACTTGGCAAGGCCAGTGCCTGTGATGTCTTCCAACTATACATGTGTTAACTTCTAGCTGGTATCTTTTTAGTGCCTTGATTTACCTCTCTTCCATAGGCATCCAGTTTAGCCGGTGATTTGAGCTATGCCATTGCTGGGTTGATATTTTTAGAATATAAAGCCAGCGTACAGTGGTCTGCAGAACTCCTGGTCATCAATTACCGAGGAGAACTGAAAAGTTACCTTGTAAGGTAAAAATATATTTTATTTGGGAGCTCCTATTTGAAATAATGTTTTTCTCTGGCTTAGTGTCAGATTTTGTTTTGTTTGTTCTTTCAGCATTTTATTGTTAAAAATTGCAAATGTAACAGGAAGGTTGAAACCATTTTATAGTGAATACTCCTATACTGTCACTTAAATTCTTTGATTAGCATTTTTCTATACTTGCTATTTCATATTTCTGTCCATCCCTCCATCTAGCCATTAATCAGTGTTATTTTTTAATGAATTTCAGAGTTAGTACTTATGTACTTTAGTATGCATGTCATTAATTAAAGTTTAAGGTTTGCTTACAGTTTTCTCTTTTGAAATAAAATTTGCCTACAATGAAATGTACAGATCTTAAGTGTACCAGCCAGTGAATTATGACAAATGCATACACTGTGCAATTCAAACCCCTATCAAGATGCAGCACATTACCATCATGCTAGAAAGTTCCCTCATGCTCCTTCCTAGTAAATCTGTCTACACCTACCCCCCAGCTTATCCATCCACCCTTTGCCTGTTCTGGTAATTCACATTAATGGACTCCTAGTATGCACTCTCCTGTCTAAGGCTTCCTTCACTTAGCATATTTTGCGATTTATTTGTGTTTTTTCATGTATCAGTAGTTTATTCCATCTTATTATAATAATAATTTATTTCACTATATGAATATTTCATGTATTTTAGAGTTGTTACTACAAAGTACCATAAATGGGGTGCCTTATCAACAACAGAAATTTACTGCTGACACTTCCCGAGGGTGCAAGTCTGTGTTCTGGGTGCCAGCATGGTTGGGTTCTGGTGAGAACCTTCTTTTGGTTTGCAGACTGCTGACTTGTCTTTGTATCCTCACATGGTGGAAATAGAGCTAGGTAGCTCTCTGACCTCCTCTTGTAAGGGCAGTAATTCCTTTCGTGAGGGCTTCATCCTCATGACCTAATTACTTCCCCAAAACCCCACCTCCAAATACCATTGCACTGGCATTAGAGTTTTAACATATGAATTTTGTGGGGGACACAGACCTTCAATCCATAGTGGGGTCACAAGCATTCAGACCATAGTGTTCCTGATTTGTTGATTCATTCTTCTGTTGATGGACTTCTGATTTCCAGTTTTGGGCTACTGTGAATAAAGCTGTTATGACCATGCTTTACAAGTATTTATGGATATGTATTTTCATTTCTCTTGGGTCACGTCTTTGAGTGGAACTGCTGAATCATAGGGTAGATACTTCCAGACCTTTTTCCAGAGTTTTTATATCATTCATATTCCCACCAATTACGAATCAGAGTTCTGGTTGTTTTGTATCCTCAGCTGTGTTTGGTGCTGTCTTTTAAATCATAGACATTGTAGTGGGTATTTTTTGGTCTCTCACTGGGCCTTACTGGTACTCTTTTCTTCTTAAATGTAGTGTTGGAACAAATCAGAGCTATCAAGAGAGTCACTGTTTCAGCTTCAGTAGTCATTATCCTCATGGAATCAGCACAGCTATTTACCATCCTGGTCACAGGTAAGCAATCATGTCTCCTCTTTGGTGGAGTATGAGGTGGATGGAGAGGTCTTGGCACAGTTTCAGAGAGAAGTTATTTTGGCTTCTTCATTTCCTCCTCTCGTGCATAGTTGTCTTAAGTATCTGTGATGTGGTTGTAGTCCTCTTCTGAGCATTTCTGTTCATCTGGCTGACTGAGCTCTGAGCCATATGGGGCAATGGGAATATTCACTGAGAAAGTTTTTCTTTTCTCTTCACTTTCTTAATCTTATTTTTCTCATCTGTGAAATGAGTATGTAGCTAACTTCTAGCACTCTAGCATGTCGCGAGAACTCACAAAAGGCTGCATGTGAAGTGCCCTTGCACAGGACGGCTCCGTCCGCATCCCTGCCCTCCTCCTCCTCTCCTTCGCTGCAGGTTAGGGCTGCTTTGATGGTGCCACAGCTGATTCCTACAATTGTCACCCGGTCTTCATAGATGTCACTTCTCCACGTATTTGCCACCTACATTGAGGGTTAGTTGAAAATTGGGCATTTTCTACTTACCGTGATTTCTCTCCTTTCATTTTGTTGTTTGAGAGTGAAATTTACATTAATTTTATAAGTTAGCCAAGCTAACTTTTTGGTTCTCTAAATGAGGAGAGTTGTAAGTCAGACAAACCTAGCTTAAATTCTGAATTTTGAGACTTACTCTGTGTCTGTTTGTAAGTCCTTAAACTCACTGATCCTCTATGTACTTGCATCCCTTTTTCATCAAAAAGACTTAATTTTTGTATTCTATTCAGTCATAGGTCTGTCCTTTTTGTTCAGAATTTTATGATTATGAAATTTCATACTGCAAAGGAACCCACACCCACCAGAGTCTCTTTGTACTCTTCCCTGATCCTTCCTACTAGAGATAACCACTGTCCTGAATTTTGTGTTTATCATTCTTTTGCTTTCCTTTTAGTTTTACCACCTACTCATATTTAGTTTTGCTGTTTGGCTTTATATAAATGGAATCATATGGGAGACACACAAGTCTTGCTTTGAGGCTTGCTTTTTGATGCACGTTTTTCTAGTTCATTCAGTTTCAACTACCATTAGGATATTTAATTTTATGTATATCGCAGCATATTTATTCATTCTCCTGTATATGAAAATTTGGTTTGTTTCCAGTTTTTTTTGGTTATAAAAATAGTACTGTGAGGGGTGCCTGGGTGGCTCAGTCGTTAACATCTGCCTTCGGCTCAGGTCATGATCTCAGGGTCCTGGGATCGAGCCCCGCATTGGGCTCCCTGCTCCGCGGGAAGCCTGCTTCTCCCTCTCCAACTCCCCCTGCTTGTGTTCCCTCTCTCGCTGTGTCTCTCTCTCTGTCAAATAAATAAATAAAATCTTAAAAAAAAAATAGTACTGTGGCCAAAATGATTATGCATTCCTCTGACACATACATGTAAGAATTTCTGTGGGATATATAAGTAGAAGTGGAATTGCTGAATTACTGAGTTTGTACATCTTCAACTTTACTGGGTAATGCAAGTGTTTTTCAGAATGGTTCTACCAGTGCACAGTTCCATCAGCAGTGTATGAAAGTTTCTGTGGCTTCTTATTAGTGCTCTTGATATCAGACTTCTAAATATTTGCTGATCTGGTTAGATATAAAAGAATATCTCATTGTGGTTTTAATTTTTATTTCCCTGATTACTGATGAGTTTGGACAGCTTTTTATGTTATTGGCCATTCATGTTTTGTCATCTATGAAATGCTTTTTTTAAATCTAATTTCTTAATTTTTATGGGGTATTTGGTCTTGACCTTCTTTATGTGATCTGGATGTTAATTCTGGATTATGTGCCTATTGAGTATTTCCTTCCAACATGTGACTTTCCAAAAAAATTTACCTTTTTTGAGTTATATCTCTGTGTAGTTTCAACTGTTAAATAATCTTAAAAACTGACCTTTTCACTAATTTCTTTCCAAAGATAACTACTTTGAGATATTTTATTTGATACCATCGGTTGTTTTCATACATAAAAATAAAATGCTGTGTTGTTACTTCTTGATTTTTCTGTTTTACACATTACCTATTAATGTCTCTTTATGGAATATGAGTATCTAGTTTTCTTACTCTGTCCTCACATACACAAACCTAGCCTTCTCTTGTTCAATTTTGATTTTGTAGGGTAAATATTATTATGGTTATGTAGATGCTATTCACAGATGAGACAAGAACCTTCTGTAGTATTGCGTGATTGCCTTTTCATTCTTATTCATTCATTCATTCAATAAACATTTATTCATTTCCTGCTCTGTGCCATGTGCTGTTCCAGATGCTTGGTAGATACCTTATGGAACTTACTTCTAGAAGGGGTGACAGACAATAAACAATGAACATAGAGTATTTGAGGAACTGATAAGTGCTGTGGGGGGAAAAAATGAACAGCAGATGGAGGACAATGGCAGAGTGGGGAGTAGGGTATGGATTGTAATTTTAAGTAGGGTAGACAGGTTACCCTCACTGAGAAAGTGACATTTGCGCAAAGACCTGCAAGAGGTGTGAATCTTCTTTATTTGGATATCTGGGGGAAGAGTGTTCTGTGCAGAAGGAGTAGCCAAAGTGAAATGAGTTGGGAGCCTACTGGCCATTTTCTAGAAACTGCAAGGAGGCCAGTTTGGCTGAAGCTGACTGAGTAGAGTAATATATTGACGTCAAAGAGATAAAGCCAGTGCTAAATCATGGAGGGGCTCCGTATGCTAGAGTAAGGCCTATCTGGTAACTTCTTACCTGTGTATGTTCTTGTAATTAATTTTTTTTTTTTTTTTTTTTTTAGTTTGCAAAGTTTTAAAATACATTTATTATAGATTTAACGGTAAACTCATTCCTGTTAGTGTAGATCCCTCTATAGTATACCATATGCATTAGATATTCTGTAGGTTTTGTCTTCTTGAAGTCTTTATCAGAACTTTCTGACCTGCTCTGATGTAGGTTTTCGTCTGCCGCATAGCTATTTCCTTAAGAGTGTCTGTAAGTTTCACTTCATCATCCTGAGGATTACTTTTATATTTTTCGTTGCATCACCTGTTTCCTGGATCCTATTTTTTTTTTTTTTCTTTTTTGGTTTATTTTGCTGTTTTGGTGACCTTCTGTAATTCCCTGAGGAAGAGTACCTGGGAAATATATAGTTTTTGAGGCCTTGCCTGTCTGAAAATGGCATTTATTCTATATCTTCATGCCTAAATGATAATTTGCTGAATAGAATTGTAGGCTGGAACTAATTTTTCTTTTAGAATTTTGAAGATATTGCTCCATTGTCGTCTAGCTTCTCATGCATTTTTTTTCCCCTCTATTTTTTTTGTCTTCCTTCTCTCCGGAAACTCAGATTCTTTTATTTCCCACAGTGTTCCGAAAATTGGTAGTGTTATGTCTTGGAGTAGTTTTTTATTTCCACACTGTTGGCCCTTCAGTTTGAATACTCACTTTTGGAAAAATTTATTGAATTATTTCTTTGATTGTTCTTCCCCTCTGTTTTCTCTTTCCTGTTTGGAATGTCTGTTCTCTATTTGTTAGTCTCACTGGGCTCACCTTTATTCTTTTTTTTTAAGATTTTATTTATTTGAGAGAGAGAGAATGAGAGAGAGAGAGCACATGAGAGGGGGGAGGGTCAGAGGGAGAAGCAGACTCCCTGCTGAGCAGGGAGCCCCATGCGGGACTCGATCTTGGGACTCCAGGATCATGAGCTGAGCAGAAGTGAGTCACTTAACCAACTGAGCCAGCCAGGTGCCTGGACTTACCTTTATTCTTATTCTCTTTTTCCCCCCTTTGTGTTTGTTGGAAAAGAGAAGTAAAAGATTATTTTAATTCTTTCTATATAAATGTATATACTTAACGGAGTAAGCAGTTTGAAGCACTTTTGAGATCTATTGTAAATATAATGAATTAAAGATACATAAGATTTCCAAATGAGTATTCAGTGAGCCACTAGTTGTTTTGAGGATTAGATACATAGTAGGTACTCAGGATATGATAGTAGTGGATAAACATAATACTGTTAATTTCTTCCTTTTGATTTTTGTGGCTCCAGCCATAAAGAGTCAGTTTTGCTATATCGTCCTTAAGAAATCTGAAAATCGGGGCGCCTGGTGGCTCAGTCGGTTAAGCGTCTGCCTTCAGCTAAGGTCATGATCTCCAGGTCCTGGGATCGAGCCCTGCATTGGGGCTTCCTGCTTATCAGGGAGTCTGCTTCTCACTCTCTCCCTCTGCCCCTCCCCACTGCTTGTTTTCTCTCTCAAATAAATAAAACCTTAAAAAAAAAAAAGAAATTTGAAAATCATTTGCAAGCCTAGTTAATTAAAAAATTTAAAAAATTGTTTATTGTATTTTGCCTATTATTTTCCAATCTGAAATAATAGATCTTTGTTTTATTTTGGATACAGTTAAGTGATCACATGCACAGTTAGAGGTCTTTACATTTCATAAAATTGAATGTAATTGTATATGCTGCAAATTACTGCCATTTTCTTAAAACATTTCTTTATAAAATAAACATGTTACAAGAATAAGAAAATTGTGTTGTTTTTATTTTATTCTTTCAACTTCGTACATGAAGTGTGGCCTTTTAATGTTCGTTTTTATAGCTCAGATGCCATATTTTCCTGGCATAGCTTCACATTAAGTTTTGAACTTAAATTTTGCTGTTAGAAAGGGGTTAGCATGTGTTTTGCTTTCAACTGCTCCGTTTTCTGGGGCGAATTTTATCAAGTCTAGACGGTACCCATGACACTCCGCTTGCTGGTTTGATTTCTGTGAGGTTGACTGTTTCTTTGTTTGCATCTTCTTTGATATTGTGTTTTATTATGTTTAAGCCAGGTTTTTCTCTTTGCTCTTTTAAGGCCTTTTTTGTTTGTTTGTTTGTTTTATTCAACTTGATTTTGTTGTTTTTAAAGCCTAGGTATTAATACCTTTCTCTGTACATATATAATTTTTAAAATTTATGTTGTACTTTACTTCCTTAGCACATATATACATTTATAAAAATTTAATCTG